CATAGATAACTTTGTAAATTTAGGAAAACATTTTAACTTTAAAGTGTTACGTGACGACACGACAATTTCTTAATTTTAAGACTCCTTTCTGTCTTCAAGATCTTTTCATACATTTTACGATACAATACAATACATACGATACAACTTCCTTAACTCTAAGAAAATTTGTATAACTTTAATACAAGTTCATAACTCGATCCAAGACATTTTTCTAATTTCAAGAAACATCACTTCTAAGACAACCTCTGAACACAAAGATATATATTTTTAACTCCAAGACAACTTTCTTACTTAGATCGACAACGAACCTTTAAGCCACAATATGAACTCTAACATCAATTCGTCACTTTAAGACAATATCATAACCCTAAGACAACATCTTAATTCTAATAGCAACTACTAATTTTAAGACAACTTCATTACTCAAAGAAAACAATCTTAAATATAATACAGGTAATAAGCTCTAAGACAACGTCATAACTTAAATAGAACTTTGTTACTCTAGACAGCAATCTTAACTCTAGGACAACTAATTAACTCTGACACAACTTCTTTACCTGTAAGACCTTTAATTATAAGAATATTCCTTAACGATAAGACAACTTCTTAACTATATGACGACATTTTAACTATAAGACAACACATTAACTCTAAGACAACTTCTTAACTTTGATAGAAACTATTAATAGACAACTTCTAAACACAAAGATATATTCTTAGTTCCAATCCAACTTTTAGACAACTAACCGTTAGGACACAATATGAACTCTAATATCAGTTCGTCACTCTAAGACAACATCATAACCCTAAGACAACTTATTAATTCTACGACAGATTCTTATCTCCGGGCCAAAATGAGATGTCTAAGACAACTTTTTAACTCTAAGAGAACATCTTTATTCAAGGCAACTGCTGCATTCCAGAACAACTTAATAAATCTGGTTCTACGTCTGAACTCTAAGTCAAGTTCTCAATACTAGGGCAGCTTCTTAACTCTTATTTAAGACAACTTCAGAACTTTGTGACAACTCCACAGCCTCCTCACAACTTTTAGACAGCTAAACTCTAAGACACCGTATTAACTCATTCTGGACCACTCTTCCAGAGGCAGCCAAAGCTAGGCAGGAACTGTTAAAATGTGGATACAAAAAGTCTTGTACAAAAAGATGCAAGTGTGTCAAAGCAAATCTCGAGTGTACACAGATGTGCTTCTGTTCAGGACAGTGTAACAGAGAATAAGCAAGCAAATCTGATCATATGAGACACTGACAAAGATCATTTAATGTTTTAACATAATGCATGATACACCATTGGATTGCCTTTACACGGCATACGCGCGTGCCTTCTATTGCGTGCACTGCGTCTTCATGAAATCTGATGGAACGACGTTTTGGCGGGCGCGCAGGCGTACCTTCCAAAGTGTAACAGAAATTATGAACTGAAGTATAGATGGCATACTTAAGTTTTCATCATAATTTTTTACGTGTTCTACCCAGTTCTTTGACCTAAAATACATTTTATATTCTATTTGTTTAATTTGAAGATGTATGTTAGGATATTTCATGTTTTCCATCGGGTTCCTTGACATAAAAACAGGTATAGATAAATAGATCCTGGTAATCGTGGCACGTATAGCCATTTCATGGCAAAGAAATGCGTTCGTGGCAGCCCTTTTGGATTTAATTTTTTTGGTGGGAAGATGTTATGATAGATCACATGTGTTCTATACCCGTTCCATGGGGTTCATTGACCTCAAAATATACGTATAGAGACCAAGATCATGGTACTTGGGGCATTTACAGCTGATTTATGGGCAAAACTGTGTTTTGTAGCGGCCATTTTAAACTTTTTGGCGGGAAGATTATGTCTTATGATATTTGACATGTGTTTTCTTGCATTCTTTGACTTCAAAAAGATAGGCATATACACCAAGATCATGGTAATCGGGCACTTGCAGTTGATTCATGGGCAAAAACATTTTTTATAGCGGGCATTTTTAATTTTAGATTTTTTGGCGGGAAACGTTGGTGTGACATCGTGTTTCCCGCAATTTTTGAAATCAGCAAACTCAAAACCCCCTAGAGCAAATTTTCATGCTTCTTTCCAGAAGTGCACACCTCAGACACATATCCGCCCCACTACCAGCAGGCAGGGCGGGGTGCGCCGTTGTCATGTTTGTGGTGTGGCATCGTTGACTAACCACGCTATCGCACCGGAGCCGGAACGAACGCCGGGTTGGGTACTACGGAGTGAGCGCAGTAGCACTGAGGCGCTCTGGTGGCTAGCGGAGTCCGGGTGGCAACGATACGGCCATGTCAACGCATCCGGACATACTAGGTGAGTGTTCTTACCTAAGGTTATTGCTAGTCACTACGTGTCGACCGGTGGCGCCATCGGGTGTCGCGGAGAGACACGAAACGCTACACCTTATTTGGCAGATATTAAGCGTGAGTGATGACAGGTCTTCTGCTATGCCACGTAGAGATTTTGTTTTATTAGGTGTACTACGATTATTGTCATTACTGGTTGATGTACGTTCTCTAAATTAAAAATACAGGTTCAACAAAATATTATTTCTTTTATTTAATAAATGCTACATAGCTTTATCTGCATGCAGAGCATGTCATGTAGGACACATATCGCCATCTATTGGCTGATTATTAATTATGTATTTATTATTATTATATTTTATATTATTATGATTATATATTAGTATTAATTATATATTTATTATTATTATTATATTTTATATTATTATGATTATATATTAGTGATACATCAGCTAGAGGCAGCCTAAATTATACAGAGCCATCGGGATTCATTTTAAATGTCAAGCCATATAAACGGAAAAATGGACATCACCTACTCTCTAGATTCGATCATCGGCTGCAAGGCTAATTATTCCTTCCTGTCATGTACTGAGCTGGGTTTCCAGTAATTGCCGTACAGTGTTTCTAGTGATACGCCATCTATATAATATACGGCCATGTAAACTAGACGTAAGTCGCGTTCACACGGTCATGGTTTGGCTCGAGCCAAATGGGCTAAATTTGGCTCGGGCCAAATTTGGCTCAGGCCGGTTTGAGTCGGAGCGTTCACACGTACGCAAGTGAATACTGTCTGTCAAATTCAAATTCAAATTCAAATTCAAATAAATTTTATTGCGCAAATATCTCACAGATACTGGCGAGATGGCGTTGTGTACGATTCAGAGTGTTTACTTCCGTTCCTAGTTCAATTATCAATCTGGTAAACGTGCATCCTGATCAAATTTGTCGAATTTTTATACTGTTTTAGACTTTAATTCGTTGAAGTACACGTTCGACACTCGCGGCATCTACCGCTCAACCGATTCTACCGCTCGACCGCTCGCCGAAAGCTGGTGCTAAAATTTGGCTCGGGCCTGGTCCGACGTTTTCGATGGGACCAAATTGGCTCGTGCCAAATTGGCACGGCCCGAAAAACCGTCCGTGTGAACGCTCGGCTCGAGCCAAATCTGGTGCGGGCCTAATTAGGCTTAGGCCAAAAACGTTCGTGTGAACGCGCCTGTAATAAATACGTTGTACATCCGGGTGCTCTCGGACAAATGGCAGTTCTAAATACAGAAGTGTTTTGTGTGACATCCGTCTTCTTCGTCTTCCTTCTCCCTGCATCTCGGATAGAGAACATAATATTGACGACGAGTTGAGGAACTATAAGGTGTCATATCATGTTACTAATAATAGTGCTCATTGGTACTCGGAAGGTGGCAGCACGGTCCAGCATGAGCACTGGGGGTTTGTGGCGAGGCGGGAACCATTACTAGCCTGCGGTGTGGATGAGTAGAACGTGAACAATAAATGGCTATGTTTAAACTGGACTTCCGTCTTATATATTATGACAAGATATTGTTACAGGTATAGAACCCAATGAGGTGCAGTTTACGGCCGGGGCCCGCTTCCTTTGCGATGAACGTGAACGAAACAATGGGTGTCATTCCAGTGCTGTACATTGTCGTGTACATTCGGATGGTGTGCATGCTGTTGCATGGGAGGACTGCCGCTGTGTGTAATTTACTAAACGGTGCTGCAATTTTACTGAGATTATGGCTACTACTATGATTGGAGCTGTGGGGCCATATGAGGCTGATGCTGACTTAAGGGTTTCGACCAGTATGCTGAAAGAGTCAACCTGTTCATGGAGGTCAATGGAATCAAGAAAGATGTGAAGGTGCAAAGTTTTCTAGCCATCATCCGAGCCAGTGCATATGGTGTGTTGAAATTCACCTTGGTAGATCACGCACGTGGGTAGATCACGCTCGTGGGTAGATCACGCACAGTGGGTAGATCACGCTCGTGGGTAGATCACGCACGTGGGTGAATCACGCTCGTGAGTAGATCTCGCACGTGGGTAGATCACGCTCGTGGGTAGATAACGCCCCTGGGTAGATGACACGCTCGTGGGTGGATCACACACGTTGGTAAATCACGCTCGTGCATAGATCGCATGCAAGCTGTCATTGTAACGTTGGAATGATGCGTTGATGTCGAAATAATGTAGAAAAAGATCCAAACTTGTGTGGTAAACTGTACAATCTTTAATCCTCATACACCGTGTAGCCACCTCATCAGTCAATCACACAAACAGACAAAGAACGCCGCACACGCGCGGTCGCACGAGCGCGTACTCTCGCGACCAGCCCCAGAATCTCCAATCTCCAATCCCCTTCCTATTACATCTCTCTCTCTATATATTCGCCCAAAACTCCCTACATCTTGATCGCACATGTCACCCGTCTTGTCCAGTTCCAACCGTTCCCCTCATTTCACAATCACCCTAGAAACTGCCTAACCTAGAACGCGCTTATCCAACTCCCTGTAACATCAATGTAGCCGCCCATCTGGTTGAGCGACGCTGTCTAGCTGGACTATATGGCTAAAACAACTACCCGTCTAGCTCCACTGACTAATTCATGTAACGCGTATAAAATAGACGTTTACATCATGATGCATCATTGCATGCTACGCTGTCGACTCTCTGAGATCCTCCCTGAGATCTTCAACTTCTTCGCACTACAACAATTAGTGGAGGATGCGGGTAACTTCAGCCATTCTTCGCACTACAAAACTTACATGGTTTTACAAGGCGGATTATCTTGTAAATTTGAAATTTTGTTATCGAACTCCTTTCTGTCTTCTAGATCTTTTAATACGTTTTAAGATACAATAAGATACATACGATACAACTTCCTTAACTCTAGGAAAATTTGTATAACTTTAATACAAGTTCATAACTCGATCCAAGACATTTTTCTAATTTCAAGAAACATCACTTCAAAGACAACCTCTGAACACAAAGATATATATGCTTAACTCCAAGACAACTTCCTTACTTAAATCGACAAATAACCTTTAAGCCACAATATGAACTCTAACATCAATTCGTCACTTTAAGACAATATCATAACCCTACGACAACATCTTAATCCTACGGCAGATTCTTAAGTCAGGGTCAACATGAAATGCTTAAGACAACTTTTAACTTTAACAAAACTTTTTAATTTATTTAAGACAACTGCTGGATTCCAGAACAACTTAATGAATCTGACTCTACGTCTTAACTCTCACGTCTGAAGTTGAGGTCTCGATCGTAAGACAGCTTGTCAACTCTTATTTAAGACAACTTCAGAACTTTGTGACAACTCCACAGCCTCCTCACAACTTTTAGACAGCTAAACTCTAAGACCCCGTGTTAACTCGTATATCGGTTTTAACTCCACGACAGCTTCTTTACTGTAAGGCAGCTTCATAATTCTACGACTACATTTTTACTTCAACACAACTCTCAACACTAAAACAACATCTTACCTCTAAAAGAAACTTCAAATTTTGAGACAACTTTTTTACTCAAAGACAACAATCATAACTCTAAGACAAGTAATGAACTCGAAGACAACGTCATAACTTTAAGACAACTTCTTAACTTTAGACAGCAATCCTAACTCTAAGGCAACCAATTAACTTTGATACAACTTCTTTTACTGTTACATTTTTAATTATAAGAATACTTTTCAACTATGAGACAACTTATTAACTATAAGACAACATCTTAAGTTTAAGACAACTTCTTTTCTCGAAAATACCTTGAATTTTTCTAACTGTAAGACAACTTCTTATGCATAACACAACTTCTTAAATCTAAAACAAATTTTAACTATAATGCAGCTTTATGACGACATCTTGACCCTACAGTTTTGACAATTTTAGAACTTTATGAAAACTTTCTAACTCTCTCTCTCTCTCTCTCTCTCTAAATATATATATATTGATGTGCCGACAACTAGAAGCATGATCTTTGACTTCTTCATTATAGCATCGAAAGTTGACAATTCCTCTCTCTCTGCAGCTGTTGCTGCCGCCATTCTTACCGTGTGGTCCCAAGCAATCTTGGAAATGATGATGTAGCAGTAAGTCATGATGATAAATAATATAATATAGTTAATGATCAGAAAGGCCACGAAACCGGACGTGAGCTCTTGGTCGGCATTGCACGTTGACAGCGGGCCCCAGCTATATGCTACATCAATGCCTGCAACAATACCAGAGGCTAGTGCGTACAGAAAGCACAAACCCATGAGAATGCAGGTGCGCTTAACAGTCATTAGCTGGTTGTAGCGTAACGGATGTACGATTGCCACGTACCTGTTGATCGTAGACAGTCCGATGCCAACCACGGTCGCTTGAATAACAATGGCTGCGTAGACCAGGAAAAACACGCAACGAAGCCTTGTTTGATGAGGAGTAAAGACTAGGATTGGTGCGAGTCCCATTATGAAGTCATAACAGGCCAAATTAACGATCGTGAGGTTCGCTGGTATTTGCAGTCGGCGAATCTTTGCTATGGTGATAATCACGAGACCGTTTCCCACCAGTGTGAGTGCACTGGTTGTCGCAAACAACAATAATACCAGCGCTTTGTCTAACGTTGGTGTTTGGTAGAAATACACGTTGCTAAGAGCATTTCCATCTTCACCATCTTTCTGACTACCTATCGGGTTGCTGTCGTTGTCAAATCGGGTTCCATTCATCGTTGTTGATATTGAAACCGTCTTCGTTTTCTCGTTCCTTGCTATATATTCTCGTTTTGAAGCGGTTGTTGGGCACGCTAGGAAACGCGAATTATTTGGGTCCAACTGAAATCTATCTGCTGTTTAAAGAAGTCTGTGTGGCGAGTAGATTATTGATCAGTCAGTCAGATTGTCTTCGCTTGATGACGAAACAAGGGTCAGAATTTCACACCGTTTCTGCTATATATTCTCGTCTTAAATAGAAATTGTTCACAAAGATCTGAAACGTGTTGTCACGCTTAGCCAAAAGCTAGAACCTTCTACTAGGACTCGCAGGTTGCAAACTATCAATTCCCAGCACCCTTTTATTTATATAGTTCTGCGTGTGCGCGTGAGCATCAACTCACAACGCCCCAATAAGATCGTTGAACCAAACAAGTGCTGTCACACCTAAAACTGACAGAAAATCTAAAATCAAATAAAGAAACAATCTAGTTTATTATAATATACTAACATATAGTAATATGGAAGTGTGTAGGGACAGAACTATGCTATTACCTAGTCATTCGTGTGATTACGCATTACCGCAGTAAAAATTATTATTTCTGAGTACGATGGCCAACCATACACTTCTTGCTTTTTACTGCGTACGCGTGATTTGATTCGCCAGAATTGATATGATTGACCAACCTATTATCTAGTGGGGCTCATAGAGTCTATGTCCCCCAGGGTACTGCCGGAACGTACCCTGGGTACGGTCCGGTATACCGGAACGTACCCTGGTCACTATT